GACAGATGAAGAAGAAGATTAATGCTCCGAAATCTCAACCTCAGCCATCTTACATTGAATTAGAAATCACTGTGAACGACAAGGTGTCTGAAGGTTTACGGCAGATGATGTTGTTACCCACTATACATACCGAATATCGACAATTCCTTGTCTTGCATGATAAAGATCCCCCAGGCGTAGAAGAGAAACGGAGGCGCTTTCCTACGCAGCGTATTAAGGATCTCGTACGTACTCAAGAGACAGATGGTACTTTTCTGACATTTTCGGAGATCGAACACGTTTCCTTTGATGCATTGATAGTTACTGATAAGGCCACATTCGGCGAGTTGGCAACCCAGTCTGTGCAATCACCGGCCGTTGCAGTCTCGTCAGCTGTAGGTTAATAGAGAAGATATGTATTATATCTGGACCGGGGATTACCACACATCTTTCTACGTATTGTATAATAATAGAGTTCTTAAACCATCCCAATGATCAGAATCTTTGTAAAGATACGTCATCGAGTTGAACATCCCAGGTTGGATCGTGTGTCCCTTCTCCGCGAAGAGGTACATAACTGCACCCCATGCCACAGCGGCGAAGACAGAGAAATGGGTAGATGAGGGAGGGATTGGTCTAACAACGGCTGAAGCCGCCCCAGGGGTGGGTGGTGGGTACGCTCTTGGGATGAGGGTAGCAACGACGCGGGAGACGACATAAAGAACGACCTGACCGGCTTATTAGACTGATATATCGAGTAAGAGCAGGAGAACATACCTGTTCATTGATGGCATTTCTATCTCCAAACACGAGATAACCTCCTATCAAGCCAGAAAAGAATGTGTCGAGTTTTCTAGATTTCCCATTGTTTAACTTCCGCTGGAGAAGCATCATAGATTTATATAAAGCGACGAAGGATGCCAAATTGACCGCATGAGTACGTGTTGCACGCAATATGGCGCGTACTCGGGATGCCCAGCTATTCATAGTCACCAGGTGACCAGGCAGATCATGAGTGTTCGG